AATTATACTGTTTTCCTGTGATGCTTTTTACATATAAAATACTACCTATGCAAACAATAATTTTTTGACATGCCTTTGTGAGACAGAATTGTAAAATTCACCAGTGTCAGGGGATTGTGAATTGCTAAGAAATATGGAGGCAGTATTTTTTAAGTTAATGACAGAATCAGGTAGCACTAAGTATGAATTTCTTCTAACCTCATTACTACCTTGTATAAACTAATACATATTTTTAGGTAGAATATTCTAAATTCACTGTAATACTTAGAGCTGTCAATAAGTCTAGTTAATTTAGAGTAAGACATAAAAAGAATACAAATTGGGGTAGGAATTATAATCCCTGGGACTGATGAGTACTTCTTAACAAACATAAACTGATTCTCTTTTAGATTGTTATTTAGAGCATGTAACTATTTACTCTTTCTGGATATATGAACCCCCCTTGGTGTTCCACTAACAAAACAATAGTTAATAAATAATTTTTAATCATCTATAGGGCAGTTCAAAGCCAAAATATTTATTTATAATATTTAGAAAATGTGAGTAATGAGAATTATAGGCACAGTTAATATTACTTAGAAGCCATAAGCAGCCCTGCACTGAAAGGAGGACTGAGAGACAAACTATGGTTATTCAAACTTGGGTATTTGGTTGATACTTTCTCAAAATGAACAAAGTGTACCTGCCTCTTGGCAGACAACAGTGACAGTGTTAGTAGCCCAGTGGTTCCCAAATGGAGCTGTTTTGACCCAGCAGGTGACATCTGGCAATGTCTACAGACATTTTTGGTTCTCACAACTGGGGGGTGTGGGGGAATGCTACTAGTTAGGGGTCAGAGATACTGGTTAACATCTTATGTGTATAGGCAGCCCCTCATGACAAGGAGTTCTCTAGCCCAAACAACAATAGTGTTGAGGCTAAGAAATCCTGTGGCAGCCAGTGACAAAAGTTAAGCTTTCATGCAAAAAAATAAAATTTTGGAAAACCCAATCTGCCACCATAAGTTTGACAGTTTCCCAATACTTAAAAGACTTCTCTGATGAGATCAGTGGTGATATTAATGAATGTGAATTTCTGACACTGTATAATAAAATATGTCAACATTTGGATGGTCCACATAATTTAGTGTATGACTATGTTTCCAATGACCAATGCATGAGGTTATACAATTATGCTCAGTTAAAAAATCCATTCAAGGTGTAAAATATATCAATGGATTTTAATATAGCAGAGCATAAAAAGTTCACTGCTGTTGTTTCAGATTCCATACTTCAACAACTTTAAGAGACTACTAGTCAAGTTTTAGTATAATATTAAAGAAGAACATCCACAATCTTCTCAAAGGCTCTTAAAATCCTCCCTTTTCCAATTACGTATCTGTGCAAACCTGGATTTTCTTTATACACCTCAACCAAAAGAACATGTTCAACAGATGGATTCAACAGCAGATATGAAAATCCAACTCTCTATATTAAGCCAGATATTTAAAACAATGCAAAAATGTAAAACACATCTCTTTATACTTTTTGGTTATTTGCATTAAAAATGGTTATTTGCATTAAATTATATTATTTATGTCACCATATGATGGGTTTCCTGTTATTTTTAAATTAATATTTTTAAAATTTCCCTGTAAATTGGTATATTTATTGATATTGATAAATATCACACAAACAAAAACTCTTTGGGGGTCCTCAATAACTTAAGAGTAAACAGAGTTCTAAGACTATAAATTTTGAGAATCACTGATTTCTCTATATAGTTCTTTAATGCTGACCTCTGTATTATTTAATATCCCTATTTTCTAGGTTCTGGGCAGAGATTATACTAAATAAACCTCCAGTTACAAATACAAAGAACAGAGTGTTTGAAATCTCCCAATCTTTTGTTCCTTACAAGATCAACTGAAATCTATCATAGGTAACACATGCCTGAAATGTGTTTGAAATTACTGTTTGACAGTGTAAGGAGGAAGCAGTTTAGATTATGAGGTACTGAAGTTTAAAACACAATAGTTGCCATGAGTGCTGAAAAGAATATTATCTAACAGGCTTCCAAGTATTACCTGATGTGTAAACAATATACATTTAAAGGAAAGGAGGAAGAAGTGTTGGAGTGAATTTAGAAATAACTATCAACAAATTCTGAAGTACCAGGTCACAAAAGAGTTATATTATCAGATTTTATAAATGTCGTAGAATCACCATTTATTTAATATACAATTTCAATGGAAATGAAGCCAATGCAAGGTATTTCCAACCTTTGCCAGGTATTTCCTACGTCATCATAGCCACCTTTTAATCACCCTTATCTTCAAATACCCTGCCATTTTAAAAAAATGTTATATGCCATGCAGTTATCAACCCTATAGATATGAGTTTATTAATGAATGAAAGCTCTTCTCAGTTAAAGGTATGAAGTTATTTGCAATAAAACAATATTATTTAACTAACTAGGTCGCAGAATGTTGCCAACACTTGTGTCATGAGAAACAAGCCAAATTATTAAAAATGTGTATGTTTCAATATGTTTCAAGACCAAAGGGTCCATTTTGCCTATCATAAAGCAAAATAATTGTTCACTTTAATAAAGCATTTGCAGATGGCCCTGTCTTCCTGAGAATTAAGGTAATACAAAAGTATTTTTCTGATGTTACTAATGTTATATCTAAATAAATGGGTATAGTAATATGTATTTTATAATGACATAAAAAGACAAAACCAAAAACAAACCAAGCACTATCATTATCAGGGTGAAGAATGGTTAAGTCTCCAGGCTTGGAGAGCATATCTACCTAAATCTTTCAAATATGAAAGGAAAATAATGTTAAAATATCTGCCTGAATTTTTCTGTGGGTACTGAAAATGTAATTTGGGAACATCTCTCATATACAAATGTTGGGTAGCATGTTGCATTCCCTCCCTCCTTTTTAAAGGGAATAGAGGGCTTAGGACGGTGAGCTCTGGAATTAAGAGTACTTGTGTTTAAATTCCAGCTCTACCACTTACTGGTAGTATAACACTGGGCAAGGTACTTAACCTTTCTGTGCCTCAATTTCCTTATCTGAAAATAGAGACAAGAACAGCAGCTACCCTACAGAACCGTTGCACAGGCTACCTGAAAAAATAAATACGTACATACATACATACATAGATAGATATATACACATATATATAAAACTTAAAACAGTACTTGATACACAATAAGCACTCAATAGATGTGAACTGTTAGTGTTATATTAAGTATTATTATTACCTAATTCCCCAAACTACATAGGGCAGCAACCACTAAACCATGGTATCCAGGGCTGACAGTGACAGATGGTGCATGTAGGAACCAATGTGACTGCAAATCTTTTCTTTATCCACATTAATATTCTTTTGGTCAAAGGTGGGAGATGGATATTAACATTTACTGAGTAAAAACAGTGTAAATGAAAGGGCTAAAATTAAAAAAAAAAAAGGAAGGAAGGAAGAAAGGAAGAAAAGGGAAGGAAGGAAGGGAAGGAGGAAAGGAGGAAGAAGTTTTGGAGTGAATTTAGAAATAACTATCAACAAATTCTGAAGTACTAGGTCACAAAAGAGTTATATTACTAGATTTTATAAAATGTTGTAGAATCACCATAATATCCTAACTATATATATATATATATTTTAGAAGATTTACTAATACTAAGAGATCAGTGGACACTTGAAAAAAAAAAAGGTCTGGTCAGTTATCTGTGTTTGGATCAGTACCTTCTGCCTAAAGCTTTGAGATTAAGGAAAGAAACAGTAATTTCTAGAAAAGAGAAAAAAGTAAATAAAACAAAAAAAAAATCACCTCCTCATGTGACACAGAAGGCACATGCAACTTAAGTGAGAAATTAATTGTCAGATGTTAATTATTATATCAGGTATCTAGCATCATGATTACACAACACTTTAGGCTCAAAAGGTGCAGAATTCACTCATTCAACTCATTTGCTAAGCATTTAACAGATGAATTAGGCAACTGTGCTAAACACTAGGGAAACAAGGAAGAATGAAATATAGCCCCTGCTTCAGGAAGTTCACAACCTTTTGGAGAAGACATATATGGAAACAAATAACTCAATTACCACAAATAAATGCTTTAAAAAAGGGGTTTAGATGGAGTGCTCTGGGAGCTTTAAAAGCGACATGACTAACTGCCTATGGGGCACTAGAAAAGACTTCATCGAAGAGCTAACATCTGAGCTAGACCTACAAAGTGGACAGTTTTCCAGAGTGAAGGAGAGACATTCTAAATATGGGGAACAACACACGTGCCAAAAGTATGAGGCAATAATTAAGTTTGGAGAAAGTAACACTTCACGTGGCTGAAGCACTGGGCACCTGAGGAAAAATAAGGCAGGAGAAGTTAAGTCTCAGATTACGTCAGATTGTGTGTCTCTTGTGCCTTGGGCAAACTTGTGAGCAATGGGGTCCCAGTAAAGGTGTCCCACCAGAAAAGTGACAAATCAGTTTGGTATCTCAGAAAAATAACACCGGTGCTACTCTAGAGGATGCACTTAAATAGAAGACAACCCAAATCTGAACCTGCTAATAAGTAAGAACTGTTATTATTCTCATCTTGTCTGAAAAAAAACAGCTGCTTTAGCAAAAAAGTGTTCTTAAACCGATGATCACAATTCAATATAAATTGCCACCATTGAGACTAAAAGAACCAAAGTACTTACACAAAACCTCATATGAATGAATAACTATAATGGTCTCACAGAAAATTGTTAGGACTATAGTAAGAGAAACATTCAGCCCTGGAACTAAAGTAAAATATCTTTTTTAAATGACAAAAAATTATGCGTACACCAAAATATCAACTAGAAGTTTTACTTTTGCTTCTTTACACTTTTGGGTTCTTTTCAAAATTTCCACAGTAAGTAGTACATTTAGAATTAGTAAAAAACATTTTAAAAGCACACTGTTCATTGCAGTTGATAAACAATTATCTTCATAAACATCTTAAAACTAAAATATTACCTTTTTGTCTCCTTGTTTTCGTCTTCTTAACCCTGGTCTATAATCATCTCCGAATCTCAGAAAGTAATAGTAAGATACTAGCCTCTCGATAGGATCCCTTATGACATTAATGTAAATTGGCTTCTTCTTCACACCAAATCTGAAGCAGAAGGAAACATAAAAGGTGAAATCTATATTTTTGTTCTGTTTTGGGGTGTCCTGAAATTCTAAGTTTGAGGTATAAATTCTACATGGAAAGAAGAACATGAGTTTATTTAAATAACATAGAATATGTGGAGATTAGGAAATAGTTTATGATTATTTGTTACAATACAGTAAAAAGGAAATAAGAATTTAAAAATTACTGCTGAAGATAAAGAAGAGAAGGGAAATTTGAATAAAAGACAATTTTAAATTTTACTGGCAAGAATTACATGAAGCATTTTAATTTCATGTAGCAATGATTTCTCACTTCTGGCTCACCAAACCAGACACACGTTATCAATAGATACAGCGTTAAATCCACACAAGCGTGACCACTGGAGTCTACCTTCTGCTAGTGATTTTATTTTTTTATTTTTTTTTTAAGATTTTATTTATTTATTTGAGAGAGAGAATGAGAGAGAGAGATCACATGAGAGAGGGGAGGGTCAGAGGGAGAAGCAGACTCCCCGCCAAGCAGGGAACCCGATGCGGGACTCGATCCCGGAACTCCAGGATCATGACCTGAGCTGAAGGCAGTCGCTTAACCAACTGAGCCACCCAGGTGCCTGATTTTAAAGACAACAGTGAAAGACATTTAGTTTCCAGCACTGTTTCCTCGGGGAATGAGAAAGAGGTGAAGGATTAGAGGAGACAGAGAAGGCTTTTACTTTAGCAACACCTGCAGCCCCCAGAATCATCCAGCTGGCTCCTGTTCTAATATCCTCACTTGTGCCAGTCTTGAAACTTTTGTGTTACTTTCACCTCTACTTTCCTTTATTCTTCAGTTAGTCCAGTTACCAAGTCCTTTTGATTTTTCTGCTGTTGGCTTCCCCACAGATCTGACCTGTCCTCATCACCCCTTCCTTTCCACCACCGCCCTCTCCCAGGGCCTCTTGCTTGCATCGCTGCAATAACCTCGTTGGTTTCCTTGCATCAGTGTGTCTCCTTCTCAATCTGTCTTCCAGACCAATTCCCAACTGATATCACTAAAACACCATTTATTAGATCATTCTTCTTAGGAATCTGGAATAACTCTGCTGTTTATGTTGACATCAAACCCACACTCCTTTGCCTGGTTGCTGATGCCTGCTGGCCTGAGTCTCAGGCACCACCTTATTGACCTAACTTTATTTTTAACTGTCCTCAAAGAAGAAACCATCTGTTACAGTTTAGGCTCACCTCTTCTACCTCCCCCAGCGTATCACACTTATTCCTATTTCTCCTTATGTGTCTCTGTTCATTCTGTCTTCCTTCACTAGAATGCCATTCTCATTTTTCTATTCTTTCTATTACATTAATGCGTTTAAAGAAAACTTTTTTGTGCACCCGATACACGCCAGCACTATTCTAATACTAGGAGTACAGTGGTGAGAAAAAAAAAGACAAAATTCCTTGTCCTGGTGGAGCCAACGTTCTATTTGGGGGAATATAAACCAGTAAGTAAATATGTGAGATGGTAAAAAGTACTAAGGAAAAAAATGATGCAGTGAAAGGGAACAGGGACTGCCAGAAGTGGGGAGAGTACAATTCAAAATAGGGGTTTCCTGGCAGGCCTCTGGAGGAAAATGTTCCAGGAAGATGAAACTCCAGGAGTATGAAGTCCCTCCCGCCCTGGCCCCCCAGCAGCTAAGTGCCAGGCATTTTCAGGGAACAGCAAGGAAATCAGCCTGGCTGCAGCAGAATCAGAAAGTGAGTAGAGAGAAGGGGGTGGGGTGGGGTGGAGGAAGTGCAGATCATGTGGGCCCTACAGAGCTTTATAAGCATCAGGAGGGAAGCCTGAGTCATCAGAGAATTGTCACGATATGGGTTTAATGTACAAAAAGGTGACTATAGTTACCAACACTGTATTGTAAACTTGAAGTTGCTACAGAGAGTAGATTTTATTTTTTATTTATTTATTTATTTTTTAAAGATTTTATTTACTTATTTGACAGAGAGAGACACAGCGAGAGAGGGAACAGAAGCAGGGGGAGTGGGAGAGGGAGAAGCAGGCTTCCCACGGAGCAGGGAGCCCGATACGGGGCTCGATCCCAGGACCCTGGGATCATGACCTGAGCCGAAGGCAGACGCTTAACGACTGAGCCACCCAGGCGCCCCCAGAGAGTAGATTTTAAATGTTCTCACCATAAGAATAGCAACAAAAAGATGGTAACTGTGTGAGGTGAAGGATGTGTTAACAAACCTTATTGTGGTAAATACTTTACAATACATGTGTATCAAATCATCACACTGTACACCTTAAACTTACACAATGTATATGTCAGTGTATCTCAATCAAGCAGGAAAGAAAAAACCCCACCACCAGCTGCTGTTTGGGAATACAATGCAGAGGGGCAATAAAGAAATCTTGTAAAGCCTAGGAAGCCTGGGGCACAACGTGCTGTCTGCTTTCATTAACACCTGCACCCAGGGGCTACTGCTCTCAGGCGATTCCACTCACTGCTTGTCCTCCTAGTGTTTCTCTTGTAAGTCTTCTCTCCTCAGAACCATTATAAGCCACTTGAGAACAGGCACAGTACCGTACACTTCTTTTATATATTTGACAGGGCCTAGTAGACATAAATCCTTGCCCACTGATTAGTAATTTGAAAGATTAAAAAAAAAATTATTAGCAGTCTCTCCTAAAATAGGAATCACAATGAGAAAATGAAAGACCTAAGCTTAGGTTGTGTGACTCTGATCAAAGAGACAGTGAAAGTTGCTTATTCTTTTAACCACTCTTGATATGTTTATTCATCTGTCCACAGAAACCTTCAATTTTAGCTCACAGCTTATAACTTAAATTTCCCTTCTTACTAAAATCTTTTTCCAAAGGCATTAAAAAGCATATACCTAAACTAACCAATTCCACATTTCCCCGTTACTTCTGCCCACTGCAATGTCTTACAATCAGAAAGCATTCTATAAGTGCTTTCTACCGAGTTCTTAAGCAAATTAGTGAAGAGACTATAGAAGAGAAAAAGCAAGGTGCCTGGATAACTCGATTCTTTCAGCCTCTGAATTACTGAAAATTAACTAGGAAATTCCTAATTTACAAATAGGTTGTATTCTATAAGAACCACTTTCTGTGTAAGAAGGGGTCAGCTGTTTTGACTTCTAGTTCTTTTCTCACCATTAAGTGACTCAAGGTCACTAAAATTCTGTGTACGTACAGAAATACTGCAAACTACAGAGAACCCTCCTGTCAAACATTATCATAATATTAAAGTTGTGAGTTGGTTAATCAGAATTGGTATGCATTTTTTTCACTCAATTCATAAAACCAATAATGCAGTAAACAATTTTTTCACAAGCTTTTAAAAGAGGAAACAGTATCACTGCCAAATATATGGCACTGTCACATTAGGCATTACAGTAGAAGCTCCATGAGGGCAGGAACTGCTTCCCTCTTATTCATGGCTTTATCACTAGTGTTCAGTGCCAGACACACAGGTGTTGAATATTATAGAATTAGGTTGAACAGACTGCTGGGAAGTAACCACTTAGGAAGCCTTTCTGTGGGACAGTGTACTCAGTAGCGAGAAGAGTTGGTGGGGGGCATCAGAAATACAGAGTTGAGGGGCACCTGGGTGGCTCAGTTGGTACAGTTGGACTCTTGGTTTCAGCTTGGGTTGTGATCTCGGGGTTGTGAGATCAAGCCCCGAGTAAGGCTCCATGCTCAGTGTGGAGTCTGCTTCAGATTCTCCGTCTTCCTCTCCCTCTGTCCTTCCCACTCATGCTCTCTTTCTCTCTCTCAAATCAATCAATCTTTAAAAAGAAAAGAAAGAAAAAAGGAAAGAAGAGGAAAAGAAAGGAAAGGAAAGGAAGAGAAGAAAAAAGAAAAAGAAAAACACAGTTGCTACCTTAACCAAGAGAGCAGAGTCTTGTAATAGAAACTATGAGGAGGGGAAAGCACAGGATGATGGGGCAATGACTCCAATCTTAAAACTATGGGATTCCCTGAGAACCCCCTTACCATCTCCATTATTAGCCAGTGACCACCCTAAGTCATTTTCTCGGGAATTACCTCCTTCCCCTATCATCTCCCACCACTGCTTTCTCTTTTTTCCTTCCCCCCAAGTCCCTAACATGTGGAACAGACAGCAATTCTTACCAAGTGGTACTGAAAAGGGGATATGGCACTTTAAAAAATTCTTTTTGCTGTCTGGAAAATGACTTTCTGGGGCATGGCTTTGGGTGGCATTTACGTGTATGAAGTATGATTTTATGAGATAACATGCATGAACTCATTCTGAAGATGGATAAGACTATTATTTATATGTTAGGTATGGTTACATAGACATGGAGGCAAGAGATTCTAACAGAAAACAGGCATGATAAAAATAGCATCTGGGCCATTCAGCTCAGCCGGTTAGGAAACAAGCATCCTTTTAGGTTTGTAGGTTTAATTCTTTTGCCAACCAGGTAGTTTTGTACAGGGGGGAAATGTGTTCTATGGTCATGAACTCCACCTTTCAACCTGGCTGGGTATCTGAGCTGTTCCTCAGGAGGGCTCAGATGAAGAAAAGACAATCCATCTCCATCCCCAAAATACAAACTATTATTGACCTATTAGAACATGATCTTCCTAGGAAGAGAACAGCATACTTAGTAGGAATCTGTGATGTTCTATAAAGATCAAAAGGCAAAAAATATAATCTGAGCAGCAGATTGGTAAGAAGACATTTTAGAAACCTTATTCTTGCCACATAGCATATGTGGTAAGACAAAGCAAGGAACATGAACTAGGCTCATGTCTTTACAACTATACTCTATATAGTTTGGATAAATGAATAAATGTCGAGAATGGTTAAAAGAACAAGTGCATACTCAGAACATCTGAAAGTAACCCTGTCGTCTAGTTGGACAAAGCCTACATGGAACATGATGAAGCTGCAAGAGGGCTGACTAGCCTTTGGGAAGCATGATGCTTTGTGATTTCTGCTTCATACTAGATTTAACCTCTTTAGGGAAGCAGCAGTCTCATTGGGGACACTGATATCTTATATATATTTATTCTGGACTCTCTTAGCCCTAAAGTTTCATAGAAATTTTCAAATCCCTCCCCATGTGGCAGGTTCCCATGATATTGTTTCAAAAATAGAGAATGACCTGTTGGGATCTGTTGGTCCCACTGGTGATGTTGTGATTTCTGTAGTAATTATTTACCTCTTAAAAAGGGCATTCATCTACTATGCATCTATTAGAATGGCCCAAATTAAAAAAAAAAAAAAGGTCAAACAATACCAAATGCTGGCAAGAATGCATAGCACCTGGAACTCTCATACACTGTTGGTGAGATTGCAAATAACAGAGCCGCATGAAAAAAAGTTTTGCAGTGTCTTATAGAGTTACTATACAATCCAGCAATCCTGCTTCTATTTGCCCAAGAGAAATGAAGAGGTATGTCCACATAAAATCTATGTGCAAATGTTTTAGCAGCTTTAATCATAATCACCAAAAGCTGGAAACAATCCAAGTATCCACAAACTGGTGAATGGATGAAGACTGTGGTGTATCCACACAATGGAATACTACTAATCCAAGAACTAACTACTGATCGATACACACATTGAATGAATGTCAAAAGCCTTATACTAAGAGAAAGAAGTCAAACTCAAAAGACTTGGTGACTGATTAAATGTACGTGGTGAAGAAAGGGGTTGTCCAAGATGACTCTAGTTTCTGGCTTTGATGTCTTTTTTTTTTTTTTAAGACTTTATTTATTAATTTGACAGAGAGAGAGGTAAAGAGCGAGCACAAGCAGGGGGAGCAGCACAGGGAGAGGGAAAAGCAGGCTCCCCGCCAAGCAGGGAGCCCAATGCAGGCTGGACCACAGACTCCAGAATCATGACCTAAGCCGAAGGCAGACACTTAACTGACTGAGCCACCCAGGCGCCCTGTGGCTTCGATGTCGTGATAAAGAAAAATGGGCAAACTTCCCCCAAGGGAATAATGGAGGCAAAGACGGTCTTGAGCGATGCCTTATTAAGAGTTGGGAATAAGAAGGGCCAGCATGGATTCATACAGAGAGAAGAAAAACACCAGTAAGACAATGTGGTAACTGAGAGAAGACAGAATTATAAAAGAACATAACACTGCTTTGTGTGAGACACGGAACCTACTGCTTCACATACATTATCATATTTAATCCTCACAACCACCAGGAAGTAGTTACTTTAATTTAATCTTCACTTTACAAATGGGGAAAATGCAGATCTGAAGTGATGTGGCTGAAATGGCAGAGCCAGTAAGGAACGGGGAGGATTTAACCGCAGACCCGTCTGGTTTTTGGAGACTGCTCCTAAACAGTCTAGAGGATCAGTGCTGTAGAAAGAGCTGGTGTTACAAGGTCAATAAAAAGGCAACTCTTGCATATTGCCTGTAATGATTACAATAACTTAAGAAATGTTTCTATAATGTTGTGACATATTTGCTGAAAGCGAGAGAAAGTGGTGCAAACTTCAACTGGTTCAGCAGAGAAGTACAAGACAAAAGGGACAATCTCACATAAATCTATAGACTAACAAACTACATTAGGCCTAAAATATTGTCGCTTTATTACTCTCTAGGGTATTTCAGACCTAGTGAAGCATTCAGTTTTGTGTTTCTTGTCCTGACATATCTGCTCTTTACTGATTCACCTCAATTGTTCTGAGAAAGACCCAGAATGACAGCGACAAAGACCCATACTCATCTCTGGGGACAATCACAAAGGTATACACCTGACATGCGCCTGAATAAGACTGCTGTATCAAAAATAATTTCCAAATATCTAAGACAGATGCTGATATGTCATCCATAGGTAGCTAGATCACAGAAAATCTCAGCAGACTCTGATCGAAACCAGCATTCACACAATATTCTTTCAGCTCAATATTATTCACTATAAAGGGAAATGTCACTGAAATAAATGAAAGAGGTGTTCTAATGTTTTTATTTTGTAAAATTTGAAGAAAATCAAAGTGGAGGTAATAGATGCTGCTGGTAAAGAAGGAGTATGAATTTAAAAGGGAGGATGATCTGTAATATTTTCACTGTTTATAATGAAACATAATGAACTGATAACTACAGAAAAAAAATGGGGTTTCAGTGAACTCACTGAGGACAAGAACTACAACTTATTTATTCAACTTTATATTGCCTGCACTCTAGGACATTTTGAAAATGCCCAACCTATACAATTTCTTTCAGTGAAAAGTTTTAAATTTATGACATTAATGATATCTATATTATTTTAAAAATTGTGCTGTCCACCAACTGAAATGAAAACAAAAAGTAATTGAACACTAAAGAGAGAAATGGAAAAAGGAACTAGGAAATGTGCTAAAAAACAAACAAACAAACAAAAACGAGAATGAGACTAAGACAAAAAGGACCAAGACAGGACAGGAATACAAACATAAAACAAGGAGATGTTTTTGTTACTATGCTAAAGTTCTGAATAAAACCAGAAAAATAAAGCCAAAACATGGCTTGAACACATATAGGCTTACAAATACAATGTGTGCTTCTTAGTGATCAGTCTAAACCAGAAATCACTTTTTTTTTATTTTCTTTATCTTGCTTCCTGGGTTTCCTGGGATATACTGAATTTACATGCTGTTTAGGGACTCTTTTAAGGCAACTGAAAAGCTAAGTGATTAAACATTTCTTTCACCAAATTCGACTGTTTTCTCCCAAAGGCAAGTATTTTAATGGATTCCACAAAGTACTATGGCAGTCAAGAATGTTTTGTAGAATAAAAGTATTCTAAAAATTGGTGAGGTGATTTTTGTTTCCTCTTCCTTACTCCTTCACGGTCAGTATGCCTGTCAAACTAAAATTTATTTTAAAAGATACTAGTTACATCTACAATAGTTCCTGACTATATATCTCAAAATACATTCTCTCTAGGTGATTTCTTTCAGGCGTTTGTTTTAAATCTTGTAAAAATCTACTGAAATTTTTCACAATACTTTTCACTTCCAGTAACATGAGACCCATTATGGAAATGTTCAAAACCTTAAACATTCATGTTAGTATTTAATAAATGAGATTAATCTTTTCAAGAAACCTTATACTTTTTCAACTGCAAGAACCCCAGCAAACACCAGAGCTTCAAGTACAAGATTTCTGCCAAAAGCAAAAGCACTCAATATATTATTTTAATAATGGAAACCTCAATTATTAGAAACCAAGCTGTGTGTGGAAATAAATCATTTAGGTGAAAGGGTAACAAACATTCAATTGAAGGATAATGCAGCCCTGAGGGAAAATATGCATATGAATGGAGTTTATGAAACTGGTTCAGTGCCTCTGCAAGGAAAAAATAGTTTATTTTAAAGCTGCCTATAAAATGTTTTCAATATTGCAGTATGAATTATTTACAGAAAAATGTACATCTAACTTTAAAGCTGCCATTTTACTGAAACATCTTGAGTACTGTGGAACTAGAAATAAAAATACATTGTTTCATGTATGTAATATCTGGGAGATTCCCTTTTAATTATATGCTCTTCAAAAAGTTAAGGGTTAGTATCTAAATCAGTAATAATTCATTCAATTCTTTTTCATTTCAAATTTAGGAGGCTAAAATGACTGAGATATCAATTTAATTTTCAAATTTGACACAGAATACTCTCTAGAGTTGACAAACACATGAGAGTATATTACTTTGAAGTCATGACTGCTAATGAAATGACTGAGGGAACTTGTCTGAGCGTAAATCATTTTAAAAATACATTTTAAATACGTCTTTGAAGTTAGTACAGGTTATTGGGGAAAAGATTTGGATTTGAGGTTTTACCATAATGCTATTCTATGTGCTACAAAAAACATTCAAATGGATTCATAAAATAACCTATGTTTAGAATATTCCTTTTGCCCAGTTGTCAGAATAGTACTTCAATGTGGCACAGACTCTAGGGGGAGCCACACAGTGCTTGGATACCATATGTAGGCCTGTATGAACTTTTCTTGAGAGAATTATGATAGAACCCACTCCACCCCCCCAAAATATGGAAAATCAGAGTTATTTATCTCCAGTTTCAAGCAAATCACTATAAAGAAAAATCACTTTTTAAAAAGTCTCTTTTGAATATACCACAACGTTAAAGCGAAAACAAGGCAGCCCGAAAGAAAGTGTACACTTCACTGTCTCCTGGCTGAAAAGCAGAGGCATGGGTAACCAATAACTAGGTGATGGGGTTCTTTGCTTTCTCAGTCCTCAATCAGTGATATGGTAAGTCAGAATCTGATTGGCCTCTAGGTTAAAACATGGCACTCTCCTAAAATAGTGTCACTTGCTTAGACAAGATGCATAAACAGAATAAGGATAAATAACTTCACCTGCATTTAGTCTACTTTGAATTTCTAAAATTTCTAAAATTAATGTGCCAGTAATCAACTTATGAACACTAGAGGGCAGTAAAACATTAGAAGGTGTATTTATATCTCAAAGTGGCAAAGGCAAGCCAGCACATTCTTTTTTTTGAATCAAAATCATAACAATTTAAGAAATGTGTCTCTTTTTAGGTTGCTAAAGTACAAAGCATTCTTTAGTGTGTCATTTTGGTACAACTTACTTTGCAAAATCCAAATAAGAAACATGTCCATGATAAAACCCTGGTTTCATCTCTTTCCAGGAGGTTATATTCTTTACAAAGCGTACCTAAAACAGGAGAACACACTCATTACTGAAGTTCAATATAAAGGAAAATGAAATCTGATGATAGTAAAATACTTTCCATTTACACAAGTTTGACAATTACAGAGCTTGAAACACAGGTTTCAACTAAGGAGAGCACAGTGTGATCTGTAATTACCAATTCATCACAGAGAGAGCCATTATCACCACACTCAGAAAAGAGTGAGAGAGAACCCTGAAAGAAAAATCCACAGAGTGCAATCATTTACAATGCTGCACAGTGAGTAATTCACATGAGTGACGGCAGGGTGGGTACCAACACACGCCCAAGTCTGTTTTTTACTCCCAGAGACTTGTTATTCATAAAAACTCATACTTACTAGTGGCTCAACAAATAAAACAAAAAGTAATCCTTAAACCAAAATAATTAAAGAAAAGATGATGATTATCAGAGGGCTTTAAAGAAAAAAGAGCAGATATTGTAAGTTCATTGATAAAAAAGATTAATAAAATTAGAGAGGTCCTATAGGTAATATTTTAAAAATTTTGAATATCTATTACTATTTTAAGTTGCTGGAATTAAAAGCACTCAAAAGATTAGTTAATAGAAAAATTAGTTAATAGAAAAATATGCTAAAAAAAATTTTAAGAGCTGATTAATATGGAACTTGATAAGCCTAAGTATCACTAGCTGCAAAGCAGTGATACACTCTCAAAGAAACATGTTACATATTTTTGATAAGCAAATTTCTGCATGATAAACAGCAAGTGGTTAAGAATGTCTTCTAGGGACTAGATACAGTGTGGTGGAGAAGGGCTGAAGGGTAGGGGGCCCACCACCCTAAACTACACTGAAAGCTTCTGCAAGCTATGACCTCAGTCTCTAGAGCACGGGCCTGTCAACTGCATACTTCTGACAACTTATCAATCTTGCATTTACATTTTAGAATGGAGTTAGTCACACGGAGATATTCTGGACTACTTCTACCAGATTAGTCGATAAATTAATGGCAATGAATGATGATGGCTGCCTCCTAGAAAAGACCTATTGGTAGCTCAGAGTACAAAACAGTGCAGAAGTGGCCACATGTCAGAGAATGTGAACTAGGGAAAAACAGAAGGTTCTGGGAAAATTTATTTCTTAGGGGAAGCCTTAATAACTCACATACCAAGGGAAATAACGGAGTTCTTAGAAGGGAAGTGATAGGAACCTTATTATCTTATACACACACACACACAAGCCCTTAAATCTGAAAATTGAACGTAGATGATGTAATTATGTTGCATTAGAAAATACACAGTTATATTCAGCAGATAGTTACGATTTTTCCCCAACCAAAAAATAAATAAATAAGTAAAAAGAGCAAAATAAATGTGTGATTTGAGGTTCTCATGTTCTTTCCTATCTGTTCTTTAAGGAAGGTTCCAAATAGAATGAAAATATCAAAAGACAAATGAAAAAGAAACAGAAAATTAAAATTAGATAACCCAAAAACTGAATCCTTAAAAAAAAATTCACATGTTGAATATGAAAAGTCCTTATAAACTGCCACTTACTGGTAAATTATTTCCAATAAGCCTGTGGTTCTGTGAAAATCAATTCCATTATTTCAGCCAAAAACGAGGGGGAAAATAGAAGGAAAAGAGAATAGGAATGGGAGGTGGTGGTTTAAGGGTACTTAAGGCATATTTAGCGACTCAGCTCTATTTTCCAGAAGCCCAGATTTAATGTGGATGTGATGGTGTGGGAGAAAAATGAGAGGAGACGGCAGATTGAAATCTGGGAAAATGGTGTTCTAGAAGCCACATGTTAGAGAGGATCGATAGTACCAACTTAGAGTACACTGTGGTAAGAGACTCAGGTGGAAATAAGAGTTAGCTATAAATATACACTTCAAGGATCCTTCTTTCTTCCACCTTTCCTCAAGACAGTCACGATTAAACTGAACACTCCTAAGGACACACTTCATGCAACATGTGTCCTTCACCATCAGGTGTAGAGCCCAGGAAGCTGGATAATGTCTGGACTGCTGCAGGGCTTCTCAAACTCAATCACCTGGGACTCCGGTCAAGATGCAGATTTGATTCAGTAGGTCTGGAGTGGGGCCCAAGATTGTGCACTTCTGACAAGTCTCCACAGGATGGCAGATCAGTGGACCACACTGAGAAGCAAGGCTGCAGCACAGGTAGGCCCAGGAACTACTGCCTGGTTTTATTTACATGAAGCTTGTTTCTGTAGTGCTTTGCAAAGGAGTCCCTGAGGTCTATAAAAGCTCTTAGCAAAGACAGACTCTCATATTCACTGCTTTCATGATAAGGGGAAAAAAAAGTGTACTGAAGTAGAACAGATTTTTAAAGATTATCCTGTAAGCCACCACAAGGTACAAAACAGAAGTGAGGACAGGAGCAGAATGAACCCCGCCTACTCCATCTCCTTCTACCCGCACACAGTGATGCCTAAAGCGTACTGGAACCAAAGCATTCCAAGAAACACAGTTTAAAAACAAATGAAATGAGAAAAAGGGTTGTTTCCAGTTGGGACTCAGGGAGGGGTTGAGTGATGGTGGAGAACAGAACAAGGCATGAAATCTTCCACTGCTGTCACCAACCTCAAGCTCTCTTGTTTACAGAATCAGCATTTTAGAGGTGGAAGGGATTTAGGATATCCTGTACTCTTATTTTATAGATTAAAAGGAAGCTCAAGAACCACATACCTTAGATTTTGGTCCAATCATCCTTCTATACCACAAGCTAATTTCCTTATTATTGTTCAATTGAAGCAAAGTGGAAAAAAACCCAGAAGGATGTGAAAAGAAAGGAGAGTAGCATTTGTATCATGATTTTGATCAACAAACTTGGGCACTGAGAATTTCAGATTTTATCCACTGCGGAGGAAAACCCTCAGATCTAGTCATTTGAAACTCATCACAAGATCTCAAAGCTCTGTAGATCTAGCTCTCAAAACTGTTTATTTTCCTCATCACATTCATTATAACCTCCACGTCCAATCCACCCTGTTCACACCCCTTGTATTGGACAACCATTTTTGCACCAATGACCGCTGACTTATTCTTGCCTTTTTACTATTTTGAGTAACCTCGGGGGTTGCTGAACACTGCTAGTCAAAACTAAGAGACCTGGTTTAAATGTCTATATAGGACTTCGCATTTTATTTTCAATTCATTCTGAGGTAAATTCACATGGGTTATTATTGCTTTTAAATTCTCTACCCTATTACTGTTAAAGTCTCTCAAAACACACAGAATCTCTCTCTAATCTCCAACTATGAGAATACTGAAGGCACATATGCATATATGTGCATATGTTTTTTTCTTTCATCTCATCAACATTTAAGGCAATGTGTTAAAGTCTCATTAATAAAGCTGTGGCTGATTTACAATTGGCAATAAATCAAAAGATGCTGAGCTGAGACTGACCTTCCCTTTACAGAAAAGAAAAAAGTGCTAAGCAAACAAATGATGTCAATAGGTTCAAGTAGTGGTTCAGACTAATTTGGAGAATAGGCGGAGGGAGCATTTAGAAGTGTCATTTACATGCTGCTGAAATTCTATAACCATCCTTTGACCCCCTTTGAAGAGCAACCTTTTTAAAAAGTTTCCTTGGGCGCCTGGGTGGCTCAGATGGTTAAGCGTCTGCCTTCGGCTCAGGTCATGATCCCAGGGTCCTGGGATCGAGTCCCGCATTGGGCTCCCTGCTCCTTGGGAGCCTGCTTCTCTCTCTCTCTCTCTCTCTCCCTCTGTCTCTCATGAATAAAAAAAAAAAAAAAAAAAAAATTTCCTTTTTGGGGTTCCTGGGTTGCTTAGCTGGGTTGTTAAGCAGATGACTCTTGATTTCAGCTCAGATCACAATCTCAGGGTCATGAGTTCGAGCCCAGGGTCTGGCTCCATGCTCAGCGGGCAGTCTGTTTCCCCTCCCCCCTCATGCCCCACCCCCCTAAAATAAATAAATAAAAAGTTTCCTTTTCAAAGTCTGAATTTAGCCACTTCCCCTTTTAGCCATGTTAGCTGGTTCCCCCAGAGCGCCCCCTGCAGAGTTTTCCCTGACTCTCCCCCCTCCATCCCCATTCTTGCCCTTTCATCAGTCAGCCCTACTGCAATTCCTGCTCTGTGGTTTTCTGCCCTCTCACCTCTCCTGCACCACTCGCCTAGTCTTTTGGCTTTTCTTCAGGTTTTCCACCGCAGTGGGGCATCCTGCTCAAGACCTCGAGATAAGGCTCTGGAATAGAGAGGAGGGAGTGGAAGTGGAGATTAGGTGAGCAAACTTGCACGCCATTCACTATGGACTCTCACCGACTACATTTGGCACTAGTGAAAGGGAAAGTGGTAGGTGAAAGGAGCAAAGCATAATAGTGGCAAATGGATTTAAGGAGACAGAAGACACTGAACACAGTGGCTCGGGGAGAAGAAATAAAGTCACCGTAGTGAACTTATTCAAAGAGTATTTCCATACTCTGATTGAAATAGGCTATCAAGAATGACTTTTCAGAAGTAGTTATTAGATATACTACACGAAAAGAGATGTTTTAAAGCTAGCCTGGAGCAGATCCGAAACTGTGATTTCTGTCAGATTTTATAACTCAAGCAGAGTCAGGCTAGCAAGTCATCAGAGGAGACCTTTAGGGAAAATACAAGCGATGTAGGGACTGGTGCTGTGATTTATCTATTAGTAGACTCAGACCTGAATCAGTGTGACAGAAAAAGCTAAGAAAGCACCGTAACAGTGTACCTAGACGTACATTTTTAATAAGATTCATCTCAACATTAATTATCTGAAAGAACTTGCTTTCACTGTCTATAAGTAGGAATGTCATCCTAACAATCCTGGCCAAATTCCAACTTTGTAATTACTATCTAGTGAATGAATACTACTATTAACTTGAGTAATTACTGTATACCAAACTCCTACTCATGCCTATACTTAAAATAAACATCCACTCTACAGCTCTGGGTAGTTTTATGACACTAAACTAGAGAGGAAGTTTTCTACACAAAAAGGAAAAGTGAATAATACTTGGATAAAATATAAGAAAGGTTCGGCAGCAACAGAACATATTTCATGCAAGTCCACAACTGTATTGTTCAGTCCTTTTTGCAGAAGGGTAGGTGTGTCCCAAATCACTTGAGGTATGGGGAGAACATATTACCATCAATCAGAGGGGCTCATTCTGCCAGTAATTATCATCACTGGCATTGTGCTCAACTAAGAACTACTTTCAAAACCTAAGTCCATTCATTTGTTCTCTCATTCATTCATTTGTTTAACAAAAATTTTATGGAGTGTATATGTACTATGTCTCAGACACCATTCTAAACACAAGGAATACAGTGGTGAATAATATGATGAACAAGGTTCCTGCCTTTTAGGAGCTTATACAGAGGAAAAGACCAATAGGAAACCAGTAAATCAGTAAGTAATAGGAAAGATACATATAGAATGATGGTGCACAGTAACTTGGAGGAAGTATTTAACATATAGGATAGCCAAGTAAGGTTTTTCTGACAGGATGTTAAAAGGATAACATGAAGTCAATGGTGAGAAACCAGGAGAAGTGTATTCTAAGACAAAATGTTAAGTGCAGAGGCCTTGAAATGGGAAAGGCTTGGTACATTCAATGAACCAAAAGGCCAATGTGGCTAGTAAACAAGAGGATGGAGTAATGGACAAGGGCTAGATTTAAAAGGGCCTGGTGGCCAAGGTAAGGAATATGGATTTTGATGGGGAGGTTGGAATATGAATTTAAAGACAAGTACTTCACCATCCTAGGAAGACTATAATATGTATCTTCTCATAACCTATTGAGAACTAGGTTCTAGATCTTTGCTACTCAAACTGTGGTTCAAGGACCAGAAGAATCCGTTTTGGCGGCAGGTTCCATCTTAGTCCTTCTGAATCAGAATCTGTACTTTAACTGATGATTGATACACACATTACAAGTTAGGAAGCACTCATCTATAGTGATGCTCTGAAATATCAGTATCTGTAACTAACATCAAATCATGGGCTCTAATGCAAAAGACCAGAAGGTGCCCTAACAATGAATTAAAAGAAAAAAATTACTATGTTGTCCTACAGAGAATGCAAATTCTAGAATATTTCCAATGCTTAGAAAGGGGTTAAATATGATCACAAACCTAAACAGATGAAGAGTAGAAAAGAATTAAGAAAGATCCTAAAAGACCCTGCCACTTAACCCCTGACAGTTTACTTTAAAGACAAGATGTTCTCTATAGCAGAGACACTTTCATGATAGCAGAGTAAACTTCGTTTTCTAACTACAAGAGCTAACTAATCACCTGTCTCCTGACAATCCCTGCCTATTCACTGAGTAGAGCACGCCTCACAGATATACCTCCCATGACCGAGTCTGTCTCCCTCTCATTGCTTACTCTTCCCATGCCTCATAATCTCAAATGCTTATCTTTTCACTTCCTTGTTCTAACTTTTCCTCTTATTTTATTACAATTTCTTAATTGTGAAAGATCTCTGAACTGCAGAAAAGTTGAAAGAATAATACGGTGAACATCTGTATACCCATTCACTAAGATTCACTAACTTCACATTTTGCCATTTTTTGCTTCTCTCTTTGTTCTCTCCATATGCACACACACGCTTTTTTCTGAACCATTTGAAAACAAGTAGCAGACATTTTTGATCAAGGATCCAATTACAAATCGCACATTACATTTGGTTTTCATATCTCTTAGTCTCCTCACCTCTAGAGAGGACTGTCCGGCCTCATCCCCAACCAAACCTTGTTTGATTGTCATGATGTTGATACAAGAGTTCAAGACAATTAATCTGGAGAATGCTCTAACAAGACAGATTTGCCTGTTTGTTCAAGATTAGGTCTGAATTAAACATTCTGGTGAGAAACATTTTAGATTAAATAATTTGGTAAGAATACCATAAAATGATGTTTTCTTTAAATAATCTTCACAGTTCCTACATCTATGTTTTATGTTCCGAGTAAATTACAAATAAGCTTCTTGAAAGATGTGGCCTTGCTTTGTATTTCTTTAAGAATGTAGCACCAGGGACGCCTGGGTGGCTCAGTTGTTAAGCGTCTGCCTTCGGCTCAGGTCATGATCCCAGGGTCCTGGGATCGAGTCCTGCATCGGGCTCCCTGCTCATTAGAGAGACTGACTCTGCCCGCCACTCTGCCTGCTGCTCCCCCAGCTCGTTCTCTCTCTCTAATAAATAAAACCTTTTTTTATATTCTTTTTTTTAATATTTTATTTATTTATTTATTTGAGAGAGAGAATGAGATAGAGAGAGTACATGAGAGGGGGGAGGGTCAGAGGGAGAAGCAGACTCCCTGCTCAGCAGGGAGCCCGATGCGGGACTCGATCCCAGGACTCCAGGATCATGACCTGAGCCGAAGGCAGTTGCTTAACCAACTGAGCCACCCAGGCACCCCCAAAACCTTTTTTTTTTTTAAAAAAAGAATGTAGCACCATCTCTGTATATATTACATACTCAATAAATAAATGAAAACGTGAGAGCAGAGTTGACAGCTGTTCCTAAGGATGGAAGAATATGCAGAGATAGCTATTATCCACTCAACAGTTTCATACCTGACTCAAAATATTTGGACTTTGCCTCTAAAATCTGAGAATAATTAAACATGTGAACAGTTTAGCACAGTGCCTAGTACAGTATGTACAAAATACATCCAGGAAAGAGCTGGAGCTAGAGACTATTTCTCTACTCTGTCCCACACAAACATGTTTTAAGTGCTGCTCATTATGTAATCCAACTGCTTTTAAGATAGCGTTTATGCTTCTCTTCTAATGGGTTTTTTTTTCCTATATATAACTAACAAGCTATTGAAAGAAAAACAGAAGTTTTATCTCATCCAAATGCAACCGGGAAAATGTATCACTACATGATGCCTGTAAATGTCATACGTGGAGAGCTTCCAGAGACTCTTATTTCATGAAAAAAAAAAAAAAAAATGGCCAATATCACTGTCAGACATCTTATAGCTGCCATACAACTTTGTAATGCTGGACACAAAATAAGCAAGGTAACTTTATATTTTCTAAAAAAATACTACTGAATAAATCTAAAATTACTATGTGAATATTAAGAGCTGTTCCTTTTAAACCAAGATGTATTTTGAAAAGCAATCAAGCAAAGAAATTTAACATCTACCACACACTATATAAAAATGGATTATTTAGGATACTTGCCCTTGAGATATACAATATTACATAATGAATAGTTTTTATGACCCACTTAGCTAAATAAGCTCATGTTTCTTCTCATTTACAGAAGAGTTATTTAGTTCGGCTGATGGATGTAGATTTTTGGTTTTATGAAAAAGAGTAATTGAGGTTACTGCAGAGAGCCAAGAATTATATGGGCAGATGATATACCATATACTATTAGCCTTTACAAACAGCTAAGAAAGCAAACCTTAACCTTATGTATCAGTGTTACTCTCTTGCTTCAGTGTAAGGATTATAAGTTTGCTTAAGACTAGGATAAGAATCAGTTCTGTAATAAACAAGTTCAGCTGTTTTCAAACAGATAAATACATTCTTAACTGTATGACTATCACAAAACCTTTCTAATAAGGCTACCTTAACATGGTATTTAATCCTACATAGTATTTTCAAATATTATCTTTTCTCCTCATAGGCCCCAATTCCCATTCCCTTCAATATTTATAGAGAATTCTATTTATTTATAATTATAGTGAGAACTCCAGGTGTGGAGAAAATGTGTGCTACTATTGCTAAAGAGATAAGTGATTTTATTTCATGAGATTAATTTCCTCTACTTTTCTTAAGACTATTTCATATCTATCCATTTGTTTATCTAAAGTTTCTTGACAATTTAAAGGCAAGGTTATGTTAAAAATATAAGCCACAATTCCTGTTCTCCAGGAGTTTGTAGCTAATATTATATAAATTACTAGTAAAGATAAGATGAAGTTTAGGAGGTTAGTCACAAAACTGAGCAATAGAGAACACAGGTATTCATTAAAGATTTCTTTATCATAAAATGAGACAACAGAATGATTTTTTTGCAAGGTATCTTGCTAAAAATATTTCATATTTTTAAAAGGATACCATACTAAAGAGCATCATTTTCTCTTCAAAAATTCAAGCTTTTAATAAGTTCATTAATTTTACAAATATTTAAATACATATAATATGCAAGGAAATATACCAAATACTGTGAAAAATGCAAAATTATAGAGAAGTTTGTTTGGGGGGGCACCTGGGTGACTCAGGTGATTTAAGCATCTGCTTCGCCTTAGGTCGTGACCCCAGGATCCTGGGATCGAGTCCCATGGCTGGCTCTCTGCTCAGCAAGGAGCCTGCTTCTCCGTCTCCCTCTGCGCTCCATGCCCCCAACTCATGCACGCTCTCTCTCTCTCTCAAATAAATAAAATCTTTAAAAAAACATTTGTTTGGTCCTGTCCCCCAAGAGACTTATAATTCATTGGGGTCAGTACACATACCCCTTAAAATGCTTTTTCCTCTTGAGATACAAAATATGAGTGAGGAAGTGTCAGAAAACATTTACTTATCCCCTACGTGTTTACCTGGTCTTGTAGTGACATCACTGGATTATTTTTGGTAGTGTTGATGTGAAGAACATGGTATTTATTCTTTGCACACAGGTCATAGGCAATATTGGTAAAGGAGGTGCTTGCAGTTTTGGGGACTCTGTTATAAATGATCACCATGTCTTCTTCCTCATCCAGCGCTGCCTCTTGCCGAGGACCATCCATTGTATGTCGCTGCTCAATTTCTCGAACTTCATGTCTTGCAATAGCCCTTTCTGCAAAGAAAAACAGTTATGAGCTCACTTTTTAAAGACAATGAAAATAATTTCCAATTCCTCGAACATAATTTTCCTATTCAAGAAATGACTAAGAGCACTTGAAGAAATGTTTTGAAGACCGAACATTCAGCATTACTCTTTGAAATATAATACACATGCATATACAGAACAACAGAATAAACAGTCATCAAGTTTAGAATACCACAGACCAGAGACCGATGTAGTTCAAAAGTCACACTACGTTTTTTGGGGTTTTTTTAGATTTTTTTAAAAAAATATTTTATTTTATTATTTATTTGACAGAGAGAGAGAGAGCGCGCAAGCACGAGCAGGGGGAGCGACAGGCAGAGGGAGAGGGAGAAGCAGACTCCCCAAGGACCAGAGAGCCTGACGCAGGGCTCAATCCCAGGACCCTGGGATCATGACCTGAGCCAAAGGCAGACACTTAACCAACTGAGCCACCCAAGGCATCCCACACTACATTCTAATAGAATTTCTACAGCCTGAATTAACTCTCAAACACACAAAGACAGATTGCTCGGAATACTAAACTTCACGGTAAAAAATACATTTAGAAAATAAGTCACTTAGAATTTAAGCAAAGATTCTGAAATTTATACTTAGGATTTAATTACTCCCTCGTTTATCAAAAGGTAGCAGGGCAATGGTTATAAATGCTGGAGTGATTTTAGGTAACAAGAGTAGAAACTATACCATTACAAATCCTTTCTCTTTTTGGTGTTGCGAGTCTTGGCTGTGTTTTGTTTTGTTTTTTAAGATTTTATTTATCTGTCAGAGAGAGAGAGCGCGCGCATACAAGCCAGGGGAGTTGCAGGAAGAGGGAGAAGCAGCTCCCCGCTGAGCAAGGAGCCCGATGTGGGACTGACCTAAGGACCATGGGATCATGATCGGAGCTGAAGGCAGACACTTAACTGGCTGAGCCACCCAGGTGTCCCAGTCCTGGCTATGTTTACTCCTTTAATTCTATGGTTCATCTAACTCAAATCACTACCATGCAGTTTGAAAAGCAGTTAGCATTTTGTATCCTATTACTATTATTCTCTTTTTAATATAAACTTTAGCTTTGAATGTTTTTTAGAATAAGGAAGCAAGAGAGGGGGAAGAGAGAAATGAGGGGATAAAAACCTCTAACAAGATTACAATTACCTTGCACAGAGACACATACTGTGCACCCTCATACCACCAGATCTTTGTGCAAGCTCTCTCACACTCCTCCATTTCTCCTGTACCCTAATGCTGCCTGGTGAATTCCTCAACCTCCACATGGAATGTCATCATTGCTCAAAGGGGAAGTATTATCTGATCTCCCTAACTAGGCACAATCACACACACAATGCATGCATATGTCCCACATACCACATGTCTCATAACAGCAATTTTTTAATATTGTATGTTATTAGTATCTGTCTACCATAAAGCATGACTTAATACAATGACATAAAAAAGCAATGAGGTATAACTATAGTAACGCACAGGCTTCAAATACTGTCAAACCATGCATCTTATATTTTGGTTCAGAAGATACGGTCACCACATTATAGAAAATATACTCTGAGCTGAGGATTCACATTCACAAGACTTGAATAAAAGTTCCAGGCCTGGGCGCCTGGGTGGCTCAGTTGGTTAAGTGACTGCCTTCAGCTCAGGTCATGATCCTGGAGTCCCGGAATCGAGTCCCACATCGGGCTCCCTGCTCAGCAGGGAGTGTGCTTCTCCCTCTGACCCGCCCCCCTCTCATGCTCTATCTCATTCTCTCTCTCAA